ATAAAAATGAGGTGGTTTCAATTTTCTCCAAGCTGCAGTATTCAACACCTAGGCTCAACTCATCATCTCCCTCCCTGTTCCACCTTCCCATGTGGAAGTGCTGGCTCTCTTTGAAGGAACTAAAACATGCGCAATATTTTTAAGAACAACTGTGATTAAAAAAATAAACAAAGAGCACAGAGGACAAGCAAAATGTACCGGGGAGTGTAGTACCAAGCAGAGAGATGACTCAGACACATGGACAAATGATCTAAGAAGGCAAAGATGGCAAACACAGCTTTGTGAATAATAAAGCCTGGAGATAAATCACTTATTCTGCTTGTTATAGAAGTCAATAAATTATAGAAGTTGATAAATGGACAAAAATTTGTAGCACTAAGCAGAATCCAAAGAGTAGAGCTGATGATGTAAACCATCACTACTGCTTTGCAAGGAGAATTTTTTTGGTGTTCCTGGTACAGCGGGTTTATTTATTGGTCCAGCTTTTCTAGAACAGTGATTGGAAAAGGACTTTTTAAGGACTAAGGATTAAATCCAGATCCCCCATCACTGACCTTTGTCTCCAACTTCTTTTTCATTTTGAGACAGGCACTCGGTGAGTTACTTGGACTGGCCTTGAAATTATCACCTTCCTGCCTCTGCCTCCCAAGTCACTGGGATCGAAGTGGTTGGATTTGCACAATTTTTCAAAAGGATTTAAGCTATTTTTGTTCATTTAGATCTATGCTTTTCCACATCTAAGATGTTAAGAATTTTGTAATACATTCTGCTACAAGAATGTAAACTACGGTTCTGAATAAGACACAACATAAATTCTAAGATAAGAAGATTATTTTTGCTACAACCATATGATGGTTTTTATTATGTAGCCAGGTAACAATGTGCTACACAACCGCTACAATATCTTTGCATAATTATATTTTAAAAGGAAAATTTATTTATTATATATCATTACTAAATTAGCATAAAAAACAAGTAAATTATTTAAAATAAAAGCAGAGGAGTCAGAAAGCCTGCAATAAAAGTTTGTACTAAAACTCATACCTTTGGAATTTAATATGTAAGACACAAACTGTTCAAATTTCCACTTCATTTTTCTGTAAAAAGAATAGTAATTATACTTCATCCTACTTACTATACTTTTAGGAAATTAAAAAGAAAATGCATGCCATGTTCTTTACATTTTATCTGTTGAATACAACCACATAACTGCTAGTTAAAGAGTAGCATAAATATCTCATTTGTAAAATATATACACGCTTGTATTTATTTTGATTTACAGATGGACACCGATAACATTATACATGTAGCTGTAAAGCAGGAGTGTTTGCACACTTATCTCTTTACATACAACTTGTACTGTGTTCATTTGTTCATTTGCTTGAGCTGAACTATGTTCCCTAAATTTCAAATGTACAAGAGAGTATTAGTAAAATGATCTGCTATAATGACAACCAGCACTCCCAGAACTCTTTTAATACATAAAATAAGTTTCATTCTTCCTCATGTTACAGATCCTCAGAGGGTCACCAGAGGTTCTGCTAATGTCCTTGCTCCAAGGTCCAGGCTAAAGCGCACATAGCTTCTGCCAGCACAGCAAATCCTAGCCCCAGGATGGAGGGACTCCCTATGCCTCCGCAGCTTCTGCTCAAGAGTAAAAATAACTCTGTTGCTCGGATTCTTGATCAAAGCCAAACTCATGCATAGAAGAACCTCAGACATAAGAAAAATGTATTTGAAAGCCAAGAAGCATGCAAGACCTCCTGAACCATCATTAGTAACCATCATTAGTTTCTCACCAGAACATTAACATGTGTTGAATATTAACATGTCCCCTAATCTGATTCCCAGAAGCAAAAATTAGGATGAATAATTTTACACTGACGTTGAGTACAAAAGATAAAAAACAATTACATAAAATGATATCTATAAATGATAAGGAATAGAAACCAAGAAGTCACAGGATTAATGCAGAATTTAAGTGATCATGTAAATTATTTTCTACTTGCAAGACATAACAATCCTGCTAGCCTCAGGAGAAGCAAATCATCGAATTTAATTTCCAGTGGGAATAAACACCTTCACCTGGCCCTAAGGAGCATGAGAACATTGTACCAGGAGATTTATTTGTTTATTTATTTTTGGCCCCAGCTGGTAAGCTGATGAGGCTCTCAGGCGTGAGAACTGATGGGCCTTGTAATTGCTTTCTTCACTCATGTAACCACAGTTGCTGTGCTCATTCCAAAACTGCAAAAGTAATCTTTGAAAGTTTTCATATTAGGTATTTCCTTCAAAACCTCCAAAGCCGATGGCTCAGAGGATGTATCTCTACCCGATAGCCCAGGCCTCTGGCCACTCGTCCAAGCACTGGAACGGTGATTGTAAATCCTTTGTGAGCCCTGGGAGAACACTCCACTCGTCAGTACCTCCATTTCTCTGGAAGGGAACTAGAGGACCTGAGTATTTCTTTGTAAAGCACTTCTAGAGAATTCAGTACACAGAAGATTTTTTTTAAATCACAGGTCTATACAAGTATTCAATTTCCTTTTAGTAAAATACATTTTCAACATACTCTGTTGCTTTAAAATGATAGCTGCATAGTGAGTTGAGAAGGACAGGAAACCAGTGTTCGAAGAATTAGTTAAATCAGTTTGTGTAAGATTGATATATGTAAGTCTGCAAGCGGTTTCTTTCACTTTTTCTATATATTAACAATTTAGAGAAGAATGAAAAAATACGGTATAGCTACAGATCTAAAGTAATTTTCTGTGTTTGAGAGATATTTCATATGCGTTCCCCATTTTTCCATTATATAACTTGTCATATTTTTCCTCAAAACATATAAGCATTTGTAAATATTCTTCAGGATTTTTTTGCTTTTAAATTATAAGCACATATACTTACTTGCTTCTCTTTTACTAACTTCAATTAGCGACATATCTACTTGAAACCTAATAATTTTATGGAACATGAGTCCCTTAAATTAATGTTTTAAGATATCAGACTTCCATGTGTTTTATCACTTTAAGATAACAGCAAAAAAATCACAGTACCTTTACTTTTCTAGAGCAAATACATCAGGAAAAAGCTTATTCTATTCTGAGATAAAGTTATCGTTATGTTCGTTCCCTCCCCAGGTTTTCAATTTAGAACAGAACTGTCCCTTAAAGTATCAGAATAAATTTCTGAAAAGATAAACGAACAAAAATAGATTGATTAGCTTTTCCACGTACAATCTTTTTCACGAGGTTGGGCACAATGGATAAAGCTTTTTGTAAATGTGAAATAGTAATGTCAAAAAAATTTTTTTGCTGCCCATTAAAGGACAGGTAGATAGCAGTAGTATGAGGCATACTAATTTCAAATATTTTAATACTGCAAACATAGTATTACTCAGCGCCATTTTTAAACATGGAAATGGAACAATGGTTCCTATCTGGGTAACTGGTGAAAGACGTGAGTAAACAAGTACTTCTGAAAGTAAAAAAAAAAATCAATCCTTCTCCCATGCCCTTCTGTCCTCTACACAGTCACTAGAAAAAATACCTATGCTGCTACAAATCTGAGAGATTTGAGGAGTATTCTATTTAAAGAAAGCTACAAATAATCAGCGAGGGAGACAATACTGGGCAATGACAAAGACATGGTAAAATTTGAATAATTATACATTTCTGGAAGGAACATAAATGTAAGCACTCCAAGACAAGCTTGAAATAGTCAAATCTTTAAACTTGGAATTAATGTATGACTTAGACATTACACTTGTAGGAAACTGACTGTATTAAAACACATGTCCCACTTTCATGTGACTGTTCATTGTGCCAATATTCACAATGACCCAAAAATAGAAACCAACCATCTATCAGCTGATGAATGGGCAAACAGCTGCGGCTGTGGAATATCACTCAGTCATGAAAAGTAACGGGAGACTGACGTATGTAAGTCACCACATTGATAAGCCTTAAAAACTTCATACCCAGTGAAAATACCCAGAACAAAAAGACTACAGATTTTATGATTCCGTTTATATGAAATATCCAGAATAGATAAGCATGCAGAAAGAATATAGCTTAGTGATTTCTAGGCTTTGAGAACAAGAAAAAAGGGGGTGACTGCTATGGAATATGGGGATTCTTCTAGGGCTGACGAAAAATTCTAGAATAAATGCATGATTCTTAAAATATGTTTGAAACACTGAGCTGTATACTTTAGAAAGCTAGCTCTTATGTGAACTATATCGTAAATAAAATGTACATTTAAAAAAAGAAAACATAAAGAAAATTAAATTCCTGATCTAACACACAAGTAAAGAAAGCGCATCTCCTTTTTTTCTTTCTTGAACAAAATTTGTAATAACCACAATCACATTTCTTCCGAATGCACATTTTATGTTAACGTTGCTATTCTCATATGAGAAATGGATTTCTACTCCTTATTTTGATAAATCAAAAAGAATGGAAGCTTTGCCCCTTAGGGCGAGTGTTTCCTCTTCTGGGGAAAAGTGCCCCGGTGTGACACTCAGCACACACCCAAGGCTGCATGCCTTCTGGAACAACAGCTACTTACAGGATGCTTTAAAAAATGGCAACAATCTGCTCCAAATAACGATCTTGGGTTTCATAAATGCCAGTGGACAATTAGATGTTTTCATCCACGCAGGATTAAGCAAACATCCAGTCTGTGCTTTTTTTTTTCAAAAAAGTATGATATGGAACTGAATGGAACCGAACTGAAATTGAACAGACCTCAAAGCTAGAGAAGCTAGAGTAGACTGACAGAGCAATTGTATGAGAGAGAGAGAGAGAGAGAGAGAGAGAGAGAGAGAGAGAGAGAGAGAGAATCTTTCTATGTACATTTTAGCTATTTACCCATTTCAAAAGACTGATCTACCCTCACTGAGAGATTGCAAGGCTCTTTGAAATAAGACACGTGCGGACTACTAACAGCACTTAAATCACAAGGTCAGAAAGCAGTGAGCAGCCCCAAGAAATCCCACTCACCCCTTCCCGAGCACGGCAGGGTTGCGCTGCCCTGACACTTCTTGACGCTTTCCTCAGGAGACAGCGGGCAGGAAAGCGGGTGTTCACACTTCTTCCCGTACCAGCCTGCTTTGCAGTCGCATCTTCCACAGTTACACTGGCCATGACCTTCACAGTGGGAGGGAAAGAATTGAGGGTGAGTGAAGACAACAGTGCCAGAGCCAGTTTTCAGTTTTTCCTTCTGACTGTGCTGTCAAAAATGTGCCAGGATCTTAATGAGCACAAGAGAAAACATTAAGTCAAAGGTACGTTCTTCTCAAACTGTTAAAATTATATTAATTGTTCCTGGGGAACAGAAAACAAAGGCAGATAAGATAAACAGCTGATTTGAGTTATTAACTCGAATCTGTCAAATTCCAGATAAATGTGATTTTATTGGTCTATTGGGAGCTAACGGGAATTTCATGGATTTGGTGATTAGTTTCGTGTGGAGGAGAGCCATAGGAAATGGTAAACAGTTTATTTTTGAAGCAGGATTTCTGTTATTTCTAATGAATATTTAATGATCTTCATTTATGGGGGTCACAGACAAAAAGCAATGAAATCTTGAATTTGGGGGAAGTTGATCTCCTTTTACTCCATCTTCACAGAGCTATAATTAGCACATAAAATTGTATATAATTGAATCCTGCCCAATATAATGTTTTGAAATACATACACACATTGTGAAATGATTACCACAATAAGTTAATTAACATATCTTTCACTCAGGCAATTATCATTGAGTGTGTTTGAGGAAAAACCCTGAAGATCTACTCTCGCAAATTTCAAATATTCAGTACACTGTTATAATTATAGGCACTGTGCTGCAATTAGGTCTCCAGAACTTGTTCATCATGTAACTGAATCTTTGCAGGCTGTCATCAATGTCTCCCTTTGCCCCAGCCCTGGTCACCACCCTCCTACTTTCTAGGATTTCAACAGCTTCAGATTCTACACAGAGCATGTAAGTGGGATTTTGCAGCCCTCGGCCCCTGTATCTCCCTTCTTTCATGGAACATGACGTCTTCCAGGCTCATGCGTGTTCTGGCAAATGTGAAGACACCCTTCTTGCTGTGGTTGAATCGCACTCCTTTGTGTGCACGCGGCATGCTTTCGTTCTCCATTCATCCACCAACAGACCATGGTTTCCATCTTTTGAATATCATGAAAAATGTTGTAAAGAGTGCAGTTATCTCTTTGAGACAGTGATTTCTCTTCTCTGGATACACGCCCAAATAATGCTAGACCATATGGCCGTTCTATTTTTAATTTTTGGAGCAATGTCCATACTGTTTTCCATAAATAGTTATATCATTTTACATTCACAACAACGAGTGAGCACCCCTCTTGGCCACACCCTTGCCAACGCGTTTAACTTTTTCGTATCATCTATACTTACAGATGTGGATTTCATTGCGGTTTTGATTTGCCTTTCTCAGATGATTTCTGATGGCAGGCACTTCTCATATACCTGTTAAACATTTGTGTATCTGCTCTTTAAAAATATCTGTTCTAGTCTTTTGTTCATTTTTCAAGTAGGTTATCTGATTTTTTTTTTTTTTTGCTATTGAGTTGTTGTAGTACTTCCTTATATAATTTGGATATTAAGCACTTATTGAATATGTAGTTTGTAAATAAGGTCTCCATTCTGTAGGTTATCATTTCATTTTGCTGGTGTTTGCTGTTGCAGGAACGTTTTACTTTAGAGTGGTACTACTTGGTACTTTTGCTTTTGTTGTCTGTGTTTTTGTTGTCATATCAAAAAACAAACAAACAAACAAAAAACAATCATTTTCAAGACTAGTGTCATGGAATCTTTTTCCCGTGTTTTCTGGAGGAGTCCTAGCAGCTTTGGGACATAAGTCTTCAATTCATTTTGAGTAGATTTTTGTGGTAAGATAAGTATCCAATTTCATTTTTTAAAAAACATATTGATATTTAGGTTTCCTGATACCATTTATGGAAGAGATGTTTCCTATTGTGTATTCTTGATTCCTTTGTGGAAGATTAATTGAGTATTTACAGATAGGTTTATTTCTCTTTGGTTCCCATGGTCTATGCCAATAACATATTTTAGTCACTACTGTTTTGCGATGTAATTTGAAGACTTTTAGGATTCCACATAAATTTAAAGATTTTTTTTCTGTGAAAAATGAAAATTTTGTAGGGACCTTCATTGAATCTTTAAAACACTTCAGGGAGCGTGAACACTTTGACAATGTTGGTTTTTCTGATCTAAGAACATGTACTATCTTCCCAATTATTTTTATTTTGAACTTCTTTCATCAGTGTTTTATGATTTTCAATGTATACATCTTCCACTTCCTTGAGTAATATATTCCAAAGTGTTTTAATTTTTGTCACTATTGCAAATAAGATTTTTTTTCTTAGTTTTTTGACAGTTTGTTGAAACACAGTTTGTTATATTCTGGAGTTTACACACTTTATTTTAATTTACCATTTATTAAGCCTACAGAACCTTAACCTAAAACTAGTAACCCACATGGAGTTCATAATACTTAAAAACCAACTTTGCATACATAAAAGATTCCAGAAAAGATATTAAACTTTCAGCTCCCCATGAAATCATTACTGAAAACCTGTACTAATAAAAAACTTTTAAATAGATTATTAGTTTAAAATATAATTATAAGCTATAAAAGATATTAAATTTACACAGTCTGTAAAGACCTGTGATGGGTAGTGGTCACTCTATCAAAAGTCATCCTATATTATTTATGAAATAGTGGCTTCAGTATCCGGTTCTGTTACTGTGGAATGAAGCTGGTCAAAGGCCAACGGCCTCTTTGGTATTCAGCTTCTTCCTTTTCACACAGGAAAATAATACATTGTCTATCCACATTTATTCAGAACCACATTATATATCTTAAGATATTATGTAAAAAATGAGCTACTGTTATTTTTATTCATTTGAGCCCACGCATGTAACCAAGTAGAGGAAAGCATGATAATTGCAACTGAGCTTTTCACAGCTCCTAATAAACATCCAACTATTCATCATTACAGGCCCAGAGCAAAGTAGATTTCTGTAATTGCTGCAAAAATGCAGGAAGAATTATAAAGGAAATGGAATGGCACTTAAAATTGTATCAGGGACAATGGCAACGGGGAAAAACCCATGCAATTTTGTTTTCGGCACCTGATTTAAAGCATATTATGCAATGTGGAAATTGGCCTTCTGGGGAGAGTAGTCCCTTTTGTCAATGATTTCTGAGATGTCTTCTGAGTTTGTAGAAATTGGACAGTTCACACCTGCAGATAATTTTCACCATCTATTAATGTGGTTCTTTATGGGGAAGACTATAAAATCACTGGTTAATGTGGGGTGCCAAATTACGGATCACTGAATGCAAATCTCTCATGAAATATTACATTCATTTCAGGGACTATTTATTGAGCACCTACTCTACAACAACTGATTAGCAGAGCTCATCATTTTGAAGGGAAAAAGTGATTGCCCATAATTGTCTATGACATGGAAAGATGATCATTAAGATCTTCTGATTATAAGATTTTTTTCTTATACTTGTTTGCACTTAGTAACAATTATATGTTGCAGGTTTTGGGGGCCTGTGGTTTTCTCAGATCTATCATGGCTAAGGAAACTGCTGTTCTTCTCCCCAGCACTCAAGTAAGTTAGCACAAACTTTGTAAACAGAGCTCCGTGGAGAGGTCACACATAAGTAACAGAGTTTAAAGCTGAAAGTTTTAATATTTAAAGTACAACCAGTTGTTTTGTTTTATAGAGGCCAGGGGCTTTGAAATTCTTGCAGATAAGAGGTTTCATTTCATGAACAGTGAGATCTGCTGGAAGGAGGCTGGACAAGTACAGAACACGCTGTCGTTTCTAGGAGGGGAGTCCGCACTCTGCAGTAAAGTGGAAACCAGGCCAAAGGAGGAAAATCTTCCTGTCCCAGGTGGTGTGCAAGGACTGTAAAAGTTAGAACACAAACAACTCCCAAATGAGAAGGCGGAGAAGTCCTGAACTACCCTGGAGGATTTCGCCCGCCCTGGGCCCCGCTGAACCTTCAGATAATGCCACCTGCTTACAGGAGGAGTCTTAACCCTGATCAGCAGGTGCTGAGCGAGACCAGTCACCAAGGAGGAGCATTCTCCAGGGCAGGAGGTGCAGGACGTGCTAAAAAGCAATCGTTATTTTCCAGCCAGGGTCCATACACTTATGGACATTAAAAAACAAAACAAAACAAAACAAAAAACAGTGAAACAAAACAAATCCTAACGAAGGTCAGGAGTTGTTAAAATGATATTTTGAGTCAGAATCTGATCTAATTAACAACAAAAGAAATCAGATTCCCTGTGGAGGCCTTAAGACATTTTCTAAAAAATGCAAATGTTGTAGAACTTTTAAGCAGAAGAAATCTTTGTGAATTCTTTGTCTTCAAGCCCGCATTTTCACTTTTGTTTTCCAGCCCTCTCTAACTTGTCTGCCCTGTAAGGACATCTTATTATCTCAGCTTTATCTTTCTATCCCTTTGCTGTTTTTGTGCCTCCTACAGGCACAGAGGGCAGGGAGCCTACAAGCTCCCTCACCACTTCTTCCTGTGCAGTTAATGCAGCATCATTGACCTTCCTGGGGAATTGTACCTCTCCCTTCTCACTTCGTCTCCAGCCATTGTTAACTCTAAGCAAAGTTGTGAGGGTCACATACTTTCGTCACGTGAGTGATGACACCCTGCTTCCTGTGCTTTCTGCCTCTGCCTCGTGCCTCAGTCCTTAGTCTCCCTAATGGAAAACACACCTACAGTTGATGGTCCATGCGGGAATCATGAGTATTGGTCGTAAGTATTGTTAACTTTAGTAACTCCATATGTGTTAAGTTTCTCCAGTTTAGCAGGTGGTGCATTTCCTTTGTGGAATTCCTGAAAGTTGCAGTTTTTTGTCTCTGACCTTCAGATGTGTGGTTGTCCGGGTTACTGCTACCCACGGTGGGTTGTTTTTGTTGAGCCTGTTTGTTCTTTCCTGTGTGAACTTTCATTTGCTATGGTAACCCCATCCCATAATAGTTTGTGGGTT